AAAAAAAAAATCAAACAAATGTGAAAATGTATCTTTAGTGACAGTAAGAAACCAAAACTTGAAATCATTTCATGAACAGAAATTCCCCTTTGGCTGAGAAGTTTTAGAAATATTTCACATTGAGGTATTCTCTTCTACTAAAGTGTCTATGCACATTGGTATCCTGTGTAAATATCCACAATCCCTCTCCCTCACAGTTTCAAAGCCTCCAAGATCCCAAAGAGGACAAAGGTACAGTGGTGGCCCCTGCCTGGCACATAGTGCCCTGTCCCCAAGCTCCACATACTATTGTAGTGATCAGTGTGTGTCCGAAAGCAAATACTTAGGGCGGTGCCTCGGCCCCATATACCGAGGGTGGCGGGTTCGAACCGGTCCTGGCCAAATTGCAACAAAAAAAATAGCCAGGTGTTGTGGCAGGCGACTGTAGTCCCAGCTATTCCAGAGGCTGAGGCAAGAGAATCGCCTAAGCCCAGAAGTTGGAGCTTGCTGTGCAGCACTGTGTCACCACGGCACTCTACCAAGGGTGATAAAGTGAGACTGTGTCTCTAAAAAAAAAAAAGCAAATACTTAGAGATTAAGAGAAAAAATATATAACTTGTTTTCTTTTACCTTGGAGGCTTAAAAGGGCGGGGCGGGGGAGAACTTTAAAGGAATATACTGTATTATATATTACAAAATTGTAATGTTTTTAATTTAAAACTTCACTATCATGTTTGGTGGCAGAACTCTGGCTAAGAAAAAGCGCAATATTGCGAAAGCTACACATTCTTTTTTTTAGGTTCAGTATCACCAGTGCTCTCTATCCCTGGGCGCGAGAGGCCAGCTTAACAGTGACATCTGGAATTAGTTAACTTTCCCCCAAGATTTGTAGCATTGTCCTGGAAGTTTTCCAGGAATTCTCTGCATTCTAAATCCATCCCTTACATCTTACACATCCAACTCCCCCTGTGCTAAAGCTCAATGCCGCCAAACCCCCAAGCAGGGATATTTAACTGGGATTCAAACTCAGAGAAGCAAAGCCCTGAACAGGAGCGTATTAGGTGGCATCATTATTGTCCTTGGGCTTCATAGTGATGTTTCCTGATCCCTTAAACATCTGGGCAAGTCTGTAAAGATGTGAGCCTCACTACACAAATATCAACATCTTCCACACAACAAGAAAGAGGTCTTTTGCAGGGTATCCATAGTTACGCTCTTACTAGCTGGGAAACCTTGGGCCACTTTTCACAGGATTATTGTGATATGCCTCATATAAATGGGAAAGGTCACAAAGAGCCAGGCCACACTGACAAACTCAGCACTCAGCAAATGCTGGCTGTTAATCCAGCACTTATTTTGTTTGTTTGTTTGGTTTTTATTGAGACAGAGTCTCACTTTTGTTGCACTCGTAGAGTGCCATGATGTAGCTCACAGCAACCGTAACTCCTGGGCTCAAGCGATTCCCTTGCCTCAGCCTCCCAAGTAGCTGGGACTACAGGCACCGGGCCACAACACCCAGCTATTTTTTTTGTTGTTGTTGTTTTAGCAGGCCCAGGCTAGGTTTGAACCTACCAGCCCTGGTGCAGGTTGCCGACACCCTACCCACTCACTGAGCCACAGGCGCCGCCCTTAATCCAGCAGTTGTAGGAGCTGCCCTTAATCCAGCAGTTGTGAAGGTACCAATTTCATGTTTCAGAAGTCTCCTAACAAGGAAGCTGCCTCTCTAGCAGATTAGAAAAAGCCACTGCAGGATACTTTTTTTTTCCTCTTGTAAAAATGATTTGCATAGGCCAGGTGCAGTGGCTCACACCTGTAATCCTAGCACTCTGGGAGGCTGAGGCGGGTGGATCAGTTGAGCTCACAAGTTTAAAACCAGCCTGAGCAAAGGCAAGATCCCCATCTCTAAAAATAGACCAGTGTTGTGGCAGGCGCCTATAGTCCCAGCTACTGGGATAGCTGAGGCAAGAGGACATCTTGAGTCCAAGAGTTAGAGGTTATTGTGTGCTATGACACCATGGTACTCTATTCACGGTGACAAAGAGAGACTCCGTCTCAAAATAATAAAAATAAAAATGATTTGCATAGGGAAATACACTAAAAGAAACCTAGAGCTAACATGAATGTTACAGGATTCTTTCCCAGTTTACAGAAAAAGAAAAATGCCCTCATTTCTCATGATACCGTACAGTTTGCAAAGTATCATTATTTTATCAGTGAATCTCAAGAACGTATGTGAGTTAGGGTAAACAGGAAAGATATTTACCTAATTCAAAAACCTTTTTGTTTTTTCTGGCATGCCATTAACACACGAATAGAAAAGATGGACATCAAGTCAAATCACTCATTTTCTTGTTTCTCAGGTATGAGGTATTGCAAATAGGATCTGAGGGTCAAAGAATGGCCCTCAAATGGTAGTATATAGCATGGCACTAGCACGGCACAGTATGTAATGTGAATAGCCCATCATTTCAGAGTTCAAGTTCTGCTGTACTCATTTCAGTGGTTTATGTTTAAGTGACAGCATTTCCCCACTTTCAGAAAGGAAAACGCGTTCCTAAGTAGTTTCTACAAAAGTGCCATCAGTCCTGTTATTTAACTGTGAAATTTAAACACGCGTCTCCTCCAGTAACATAATACTAGAGAGGACTACAATAATCTTCTTCCACATTATTTAAATGAGTCATCCCTAAGATGCAAGTGACCTTTCATATTTAATTAATCTTTACTAGCAATTTTAAAAGCCCTTGTTTTTCAAGATTCTAACCTTCTGACCAACTTTTTAAAAGACAATCATTATAAATCTTGCTTACACAGATTACTGTACAGAGGAAAAAAAAAATGACAGCTGAAACTCCCTTTTATTTTTTACTTCTTCCACTATAAAATGCTTATTTGCTGTTAAATCTTTGGGGTTTAGATTTTCTGTGCATTTTCTTATCAGGAAAATATAAGCAAAATTTGCCACATCCTCACACCCATACTAGATGAAAATAAAATCAGGAAGCAATAGAGACAATTATTTGAGTTTGCTTTAAAAACACTTGCCAAGGCTCGGCGCCTATAGCTCAACCGGCTAAGGCGCCAGCCACGTACAGCTAAGGTGGCTGGTTCGAATCCCCAGCCCGGACCCGCCAAACAACAATGATGGCTGCAACCAAAAAATAGCCAGGCGTTG